TGTAAGATGCTTGAAACAGCTGTTTAAGCTCCTTTGCCTTTAGGACATTTTTCCTTGAAATCAGCTTTCTTTTGATTGGCTAACCCTTACAGACTGACAGTTTAAACACCAGGTGGTTGGGCTTAAGTCTAGGATTATTTTATTTTAAAAAGTGTAAACCGCATGTATGTGTAAACTTCACTCTATTCCTTTTGGAGAATGTGAAAAAATCCTTGGTATATAGAGATATCCACAACACCTTGTTGTGTTTTGCCTTGGTTTTTGTTTATAATTTATTGTAGTTATATAATGTAGTTATATTTATATTTTTGAAATGAACTAGTCAATTAATAAAAATGAATAATCAGCAGAGATCTGTGTCTACATGTTAAATCTATACAGTCTAAAGCTAGTTTTATACTTTCCGTGTCCCAGAGTCCAAGGGGGTCCACTTGGGTTCCAGTGACGTAAATTTCTTCAACGGACGGTGAATGGAAGGGTCCGTGGATAATTTACCTTACAATGCACCAACTACGCATGCACTGAGCTATCCGTGACTGTGTCCGCCACTAACTATAATCCAGGCTTAAAGTCCGTTGGGGTATGTTTTGTTTCTGGGTGTCTTAAAATTCTCATTTGCAAACATGTCTGTCTCTGATATTGTCTTGTGTCACAGACTTTAGACTTACATTAGTCACATTACAACGCCCCAGCTGGTGGACTTCAAAGAAGTATTGTAGGGATGACTACTTGGTTGCGGTGTTCCTAATTGCTATTTTTTAACGTCAACATTAAACTTGCTAATGTTAACGTAAAAAATTAGTTAGCTCCAACTCACCTAAATATGGTCGCTTCATAACATGGTGTCATAAAACCCAGATGGTTTTCGCCAAATGCCAAACTTTGAGGATTCAGAAAGTACCAGAAATAATGTCACTTTTATATAAGAGAGGGTTGCTAAGTCTTGCTAAGAAGGAATTGTTTGGGTTATGTTAAATGATATCTGATCTTTACCTTATGATATTAAGTAACATTTACTATGATCCTTTCATTGTTTTAATTTTTTAATGACATTTATTGACAATCAGAAACATAAAATATCATCAGCCTTATCCAAATAAGGAGGACTGAGATATGAGGTTCTTTAATTATTACCTAGAAGTTGATTCATGCGTGATGATTACATTTTAGATGTAACATAAATGATCTCCGGCATAGGTGAACAAACAAAACAACGGTTGAAAGGACTTCCCAACAAAACCCCATCTGTGGAGCATCGTGTTATCACATAGTGCCAGGATGCCTGATCCCCTCTCCACTGTAAAGAGGTGTACGTCGACCTTTCTGTTCTTCATCCTCGAGTGCTGAGAGAGCAGATGGAGTACCTTGCAAGATTGGTTTGTCCTGTGCCAAACATCTACTGCTCATTTGTTATAAAGCGGCTCTTCTTTGGTTTTGTTTTTCTAAGGTCATCATATTAGTTCTTTAGTTAATAAAAAGGCTATAAGAGTAATGCAGAAGCCGTGTCTAAAAGTCCTCAGTCAGCAAACTCATGGCACAGAATCAATGATTCAAGTAATACCGTAGGTATTAATCAATATTAAAGCTGTGAGGATTGCATTGCCACTCATTGCAGCGCTGCCTTCACACTTTGATCAAAACTCTATAACAACAAGGTCATCAAGCATTGTTTTTACTGGGCTTGTTCCAGCATCCAAGTCACTGGAAGAAACTGGAGACTTTTTAGAGTTTTATTACAAACACAAGCTGCAGAGGTCCAAGTGACTTTGCCCTCAGGAGGGTGTGAACTACAGTACACAGGCTGCTGTCTGTGCAGCTTTGAAATTGGCTTAACGTGTCTGCTGACAAAACAGTAACCCAATCTACTGATATGAGACTCATTGTCTGAGCTTTCATGTGAGACCAGTCCATTGTTTTCTTTTAAAGCAACGAGACAGAGCTTGTCACTAACTTGGAGAGTAAAAGGATAAACAGAGTCATGCAACAGTGATATTTTTAGATCCATTAAGGGGTGCAGTACAGTGTGCTGTGTCACAGTGACTGGACCATCTGCTTTGAATGGATTTCTTGGGGTGAATCTTTTTGTAAGGCAGGATAGATGTGATCTCTTCATTAAACACCCAATGAATTATAAATGATAGCCTCACATTAGCTTTGACCTTGCCAGAGCCACCTGTCTGTTAAATGCTAAAATGCTACCAGACCTTGTCTTTGGGCTATCACTGTACAATCAGTGATCAGTGGGGCAGAATGGTGGCCCGCTGACCTGAGTGTTAACTAGAGACACGGACAGGGCTCCAAACAGATGGTAATAAAACAGTCAGTATGTTTCAGCATGAAAACACTGCAACTACGTTTTTGATGGAGGAAAGACTTAGCACAAAAAATGCATTAGATATATAAAGTCTACACTCATAATACCTTGATATCGTTTACACATACCAACTGAAAATGTTTCCTTCCTGTGACTGTATGGGACAGTAAGACAAGTTAAATAGTCAGTGCCTAGCCTTAGAAGCCAAGATAGATAGTCTTATAAATGATTCATAAGGTCTGCATATTTAATTTGGTGCTTTTGCTTCAGAAACGATCCCAGTCAAAGGCATTGTTAGGCACACAGTATTAGAATTTCTCCATCCAGTGACGAGCTTTGCCAATAGAAAGGAAAAGCTAATCACGTTTCTATTTCACATTTTTGACTCAAAATCCCCCCATTTTTAGATTGCTCTATAATTTGATAATCCCTTTTTGATCTTCACACCTATTTCTGACAGAAATTCTATTCTTTATAGGCTTTTTTTTAGAGAACACACAATGACAAACATCTGCTCCTCCAGTCTTGATATACATCAATATTTAAAACAGCCTGACTTTTTCTGTCTCGTGATGTGACACAGTGTTAGGCATGAGTTTTTATAGAAACCTGAAGATACAGAGAGGGATGCCATCATGATATCAGCAGAGAACCAACAGCGAGTAGGCGTTAATAACAGCTAACATGAGGCGTTAATGAGTATTCATGCCTAAAGCTATACACTGAGACTTACACCTCCATTCATCACCATTATTATTAAACACAGGGGAGAAAAAGATGTTTTAAACATTTAAATTAAAACACAGGTGCATTTCATCCCAGAAAAGAAATTATCTAAGGAAACTTCACACTTTTAGAATACACGTTTAATGAAAGGCACTCTTTGCTGAATAAATAAAACAGCAAATTATGACTTGAACTGTACAATGTTGACACACACAGTAAGAGTCCTTAGATATTAAGTGCTTCATGACATTGTAAAGTGCTGAGTACCCAGGTGACGTTGATGTCACCTTATTGCATTTTAATTACAGGTATTGCTCTTTCCATGGGTGAAAAATACATTTTTTTTTCATCCGCACGTCACGTCATTATTGCATATTGTGAGGTTATTAAAAAGGTACCAACTGTTTTTCAACTATATCCATTTACACTTTAGTACAAGCTGTATTTATATGTTTCATAAACTTACATACAGTACATTTTCAAGGTCAAAATGTGGCATGCATATATAGTACCAATTCAAATAAACTGTGCACATTTATCATTTGTTCTCTTCTTTTCTCAAATCCACTTAAGGTATTGGCTTTTCCCATCACATGGAATACAATGCTCATTACTATAATGGTTAAAATACTACAATGCATTCAGCCACAGTAAATATTCAAAGGTTAATTTGCTGATAACAAGAAGTAAACCTCATTCCAGCACACTATGCCATGCAGTTAAAAATGAGAGAAAGAAGGCAAATGGAGATATGTTCAAATAAGAGTGCAAAGTCAATTTTTTTTTGCCTTTGTCCTTTCTCCAGCTCTCTCAGATACAAACTGAAGACACATGTTCTTTCACATTTTTTTACACATTTTTTTCCCCTGCCAACAGTGGATGGTGCAAAATTCCAAAAGTGCTTAAGAGATATGTGGAAAAAAGCATTAAGTGCATTGGATTGATGTGTTTTTTAAAGGGTAAATTCACATTACACTTTAGAAGGTGATCCATATATCTAATGTGCATAATTTGGAGCAAAATCCCAAATAATAAAAGAAAAGTTGATTTTAAAAGCTGAAACTTTTTCATGCAACTACTGCATGTACAACATTATACTCTATTATATTAGATTTATATTCTTCAGCCATCTAAAAGATTTATGGCGGACATGCTAATGTGCCAACTGTTTGTCACACAGATATTGTTATGCTGTGTCATATGGAGAAGCGCTGCTTCTCCACAAGAATAGATTTGCTGATAAGTCACTGCGTGTGCTGATGTCCTTTTGCCTGGATACATTCATCTGCCCTTGAAAATCATGCCAAGTCCTCTCAAGATTCTGCTGATTATGATGAAGTATAGACTGACATGGGACTGTGATGTAATATGAGTACTGAATATACTTCCAGTTCTACTGCTGCTCAAAATAATTTTTGATTTGTTTTCTTCCGTCACTTAGTCTGCTAATACAGCCCAGAGGGACATTATACAACTGCCTGTCCCGTCGTTACAGTATTTACTCTAACAATAACATTTTCCAAGATTAAGTATTTGCCTCAAGTACATAATTGCTATGACATTTTTCTTCAAAGTGCACTGAATGAAAGATAATATGTTATACCTTTCAGTCATTCTCATAAAGGTAACTGACAGTAGTTGTAGTAATTGCACTTTGACACATTCACATGCAGGCAGACAACTTCTGTGAAAACTGTATCGCCAAACATACATCCATAGATTTATCCATAACCCTTTATCTAAGTCAGAGTTGCAGGGTGGCTGGAGCCTATCCTGGTTGCCACAGGACCACACGGTTCTTATTAATACTGTAATTTATCTGCACAAATGCTGCCATGTTTGTTGTATAAAATAGAGAGAAAGATAAACTGATTAGCCAGTGTATCTTATTAATGGATATGTTTGTTTTGTCCATTTGTTTTTCATGCCCTTTATATAAATAAATACTTGAGTTTCTTTATCAGTGCATGCCATTCTTTTCATTCTGCCAGGTGCTGTTACTTTTGTTTAGTGAAAGTGTGCTTCCACACTTATTTGCAGCTGACATTTTCTGGGCAGCCTCTGCTGCTGCATCCATCACCTGTTTCTCCTCCTGCTCAGTCTCACGGTGGTAAAAATAGTTGAAGTTGGACACGATGACAGGGACGGGTAGGGCAATGGTCAGGACACCAGCAATGGCACAGAGAGTGCCGACCATTTTGCCTCCCATGGTGATGGGGCACATGTCGCCGTAACCCACAGTGGTCATCGTCACCACAGCCCACCAGAAGCCATCAGGGATGCTAACAAATTGTGTCTGGGGCTCATCCACTTCTGCAAAGTAGATGGCACTTGAGAATAGGATGACTCCTATAAATAGGAAGAAGATTAGCAGGCCCAGTTCCCTCATGCTGGCTTTCAGGGTCTGCCCCAAAATCTGAAGTCCCTTTGAGTGTCGGGAGAGCTTAAAAATTCTGAAGACTCTCACTAGTCGGATGATTCTTAAGATTGCTAAAGACATGTTCTGACTAGAGTTCATATCGTCATCAGGTGTTGTAGCCAGCTCTGTTCCCAGGGTTACAAAGTAAGGAATAATAGAGACGATGTCGATGATATTCATGATGTTATTGAAGAAATCACTTTTGCTTGGGCACACTACGAAGCGGACACCGAGTTCAAAGCAAAACCAAATTATGCAAATAGTCTCCACTATGAAAAAGGGATCAGTGAAATATGCTAGCAGGTTTTTAGTGGTCTGATGAAGGTTAGCATCTTCTCGGCTGCCATTGATAAATTGGGTTACACCCGGAATAAAGTCATTGTCCTCCCTGAACTCTGGCAGAGTCTCTAGGCAGAATATGAAGATAGAGATGACAATAACAAGGACAGAAACCAGAGCAACAGATTTGGCCGCACTGGAGCTCTCTGGGTATTCAAACAGTAGCCAAAACTGTCGCTGGAGTTCATTGGTGGGCAAAAGAACTTCTGGCTCTTTGATAAACCCTTCATCTTCACGGAACTGCTCCATTGCTTCATGACCCAATTCATAGAAAACAATTTCATTTGCAAATACATCTAAAGGTACATTGGCTGGTCTGCGGATTCTCCCTCCTGACTGATAGTAGTAGAGAATCCCATCAAAAGATGGACGGTTTCTGTCAAAAAAGTACTCGTTTCTCATTGGGTCAAAATAGCTTATCCTCTTCATAGGGTCTCCAAGCAGTGTCTCTGGAAACTTATTCAGGGTGCTGAGCTGGGTCTCAAACATCAGTCCTGAAATATTGATGACAACTTTCTCATCTTTTTCTTCCATGTAGTGCTTTTCAAACAAATCTTCACTCTCGTAATAATCCCTCGGCATCTTACTGAAGACACTGTTGGTGGGAGACTCACTGTTGATCAGGAGCTTTAGATTAGAGATCAAACTGCCACTGCTGGAGTTGGCTTTGGTGGTCAGTGTAAGAGGAGTGGAAGGTGAGAGCCCCTCTGCACCAGACTGATGGCTGCGTCGTCTTCTGTGTGGTGACTGTTGAGGAGAAGTCAAACGCTGGGTTAAAAGGTTCTGATCAGCGGCCTCTGATGTAGGTGAGGTTGGGTACCCAGAATCACTTGGGTCTCCCAGGTTGATGCCAACATCATCCATGTTCTCAAAATTAACTAGTGGCACCTCCATTGCCTGTCTTGTCACTAGCCACAGCTCTGTCTATCAACGTTTTTTTGTAGACAGAGGAGACACCACAGCCAGTGCCACACGGAAGATCCTGGCAGGGGCTCCCTCCTCCTGGTTATCATTCAGGCAGCTGTACACTACTTTTTGGGTTCAGACCTCTGTGTAATCTGTGAAATAGGGGTGGGAAAAAGGAATGTTGTGAAATTGGACAAATGCTGCAATACACCTCTGTCAGCTCCTGTTTAGATAAGCAGAGTGCCAGCCATCTGATACTTTGCTTGTGCAGTTATCCCCCCCCCCAAAATTCTCTCCAATAGCCTGAATGAAAACACAAACTCGGCAAATTCGGCCCTAAAAATGCTTACATGGAGTATGGATGGTATTATTGCTGATATGTATGGCAAAGCTGTTTCATTATAGAAAAACATCTGAACTTTCATTTATGACTGAAAACAGAGATTCATCAAAACCAAAGCACATTTATTTTGTCTCAGTATCTAAATGTTTGTCTGTAAGTACCTAACTAGTGACTTGTTTAATCCATCCAGACGCTGTTCAGCCTCAGGATAGTCTATCAGCATCACATTTACCTTATCTCTAAGAGGCTGTTTATCATTCCGTTTGTCTGGTTCGGACAGGTAACCAAATCCTGACACACGCTCGAAGGCTGCAACCTCTGTGTCCACTAGACACCAAGGGCCCTGACAGACTTGGGACTCAGTTTCCACTTGCAATGTAGCAGATAATGTAACAGTCATTTCTTATGTAAGAATATTATATAGAGGTTATGCAAACAACTGAAATGGTATATTGATATATGTTTGGAAAGGAGTTACTGAGCCCAATAAAAAAAATGGACAAAAAAGTGCATTTTGGACAGAGTTCTTGGATCTCAGACATTTGAATCAATTATTATAATGATTTTTTTTGCTGCAGAAACCTTAAAATTGAGTTAACTCAGCATTATCTCACACCAAGATGATACTGAAAGACACAACAAATGATATTACCTTAACAAGGTCTGAACATCAAAGCGCTCCCAAATCACGTCCAAATTTTCAATTAAAAAGTTAAAAGTTTAAATCCAGCTGTGTGCAGATGCCTGTACCACTCACCCATGTCCCCGCTCTGCAGAAGTTATTGTGTCCTCTCTAATCCTGCCTGGCAGCTCCGCTCTGCTCCCCTTCACTCCCTTCACTCTCCCTTATCCAGACTCACAATCAAGAGTGTCTCAAGCTCTATTAAAGCTCCCACTGGGTAATTTAACACCGAATACGAAACCAGAGATGCCAGAGGTACCCACACATACTCACAAACGTACACAGTCGCACACACGCAAACACAGACAAACTAAAACACACGTAAAGCGAACTCACTGTACTTTAAATGTGGGGGTCACCTGGCTTTGTTCTCCCTCCTCCCTCCTCCACCACTGGAGATAGGTAAGCTCTGTGATAGGAGATTTACTCCGCAGGAGCCAATCGCTGTTTGATGAGGCAAAGGGAGTGTGGGACCCCCTCTTTTCCGCCTTTCCTGCAGAGTAAGCACCCACATACAGGATCATCCAACCCACCCTCACCTTGGGATTTAACCATATTTTTTCCCTGTTACAATACTTGCCATTACCCTCATTACCCTAAGCAGAAGAACACATCATCCTAGGGGCTTCACCTCCCTTTTATTTACACATGTACACAGATGTGAACTGTTACTTCACCTGCCATTGACAAAACTGTCACAACTGTTTTCTAAATCTTAACAGAAATCTGCTTTTTACAATGGCTCTGCAAACATGTGATGCAAATCTATAACGTGCTAATTCTAGTGTGTGAAAAATATGAATTACAACACATATTTTAGTGAATTCTATTGATAAATGGTTGAACTTTTCACAGGGGTTTAGTATATTCTGATTGTGCTCTCCCCTTGAGGTGTGAAGACTTAAATACCTCTGCACCTTCTGCAACTGAGATTTTGTCAGATTAATAAAGCAGCTAAAGTCCAATTCAAATTGAAATACTTTAATTACAGAGATGCTATACTAGTTAGTATAGTTTAATTGAACATAACCTTGCACTTTCTCAGAATGTCATCCTATTTGGCAGCACAGTTTGATTAATATGTTACTGGATATAAAACCAGTTGATGGAAACCAGAAATCCTTCCTTCATCTCACTTTTGCTCTGCTGCAGCCAGGAATCGGCTGTCTCCTGAGCCCCTGTAATACTGAGCAGGACTACTTCACATGGCTTCAAGGTCACAGAAAACTATTAAGACTTTACAGTCTGTGCTTTCCCATTGATCATCAACACTCACCTCTTGACATGTCATTATGTGTTCTCACATGAACATCATGCTCATGTACATTCATAAATATTAACTTAGGGGAAATTCATGCACATAGAGCATGGCCACACAGAGACTTGCATGTGCAAACATCACCCAGCTAGGTCAACATTCTCAATATGTAGGGATCTTTTTCTTGTGTGATCCTGTTATATCCTGGACATGTCATTGAGAGTGCAGTCAGTCGAAGCATGACCTGTCACTTAAACACTTCGTAATAGAATTTGTGACAGGCAAAGAAGGACAGGAAGATGGACAGCGAGGGGTGTTCATATACTACATGAGTCAGGCTGAGAGGGTAAATAATCGATGTATTCCTCTGCAAAACGATTTGTCACTGAAATGAGGAAAGGGGCGGTAAATGCCTGAGATATGAGCTCCAGGATGACGTGGACTGCAGCTGCTGCAGTGTTACTTGTCTCACGAGTACCGACAAGGTACCAGAGGGATAACGTCCCTCCCTCTGCCCTTTCATGCAGCCCTCAATCCATCATCCATAGCTCCTCCCTCCCAATATTCAGCCCTCTCCCCGATGACACTGTCACCTTACTGATAAACACAGTGTGTTGACAAAGCATTTTCTCCAACGTGAAGGCTTGTGTGAACCATACTGACGCTGCATGGGTACAAATCACCTCCTGCACACCTTTATGGAGCCTGACTTTGAGCCATGGACACCTGCTAGAAATAGTAACAACAGCTTATGAAAGCTTAAAATTTGCAATATTTGAAAGAAGTATCAAGTTTCTTTAGTAACCGTAGCAATGTCACACCCCGAAAACACTGACATAGGTAAAAATCCAGCATTTACTTTTTGATCTAATGAAGAGTAGTATTTACTTTAACTAGCACTAGGAAATACATTATTAGAATGCTTGATTCATCTCTCTTTTGCTCTGCAAAAAGTATACTTTTGCAGAGCAAATATGTATGTGACTACAGTGACTACATGCCAAAAAGATAGTTATACTTCCATAGAGATTAAGAGGCCGTGTAGTTGATTAATATAGTTGATTAACTGATTATCAGCAAATGTGAGCCCCTCTATAAAAGCAGACAATTTGGCAGTTTGCTGTCTAGAGCATTCAGCTGTGTGTTAACACATTGCAAAGAAGAAAAGACATTAACAGTGATCTTAGCAACTGTTGCTGCACACCAGTTTGTGAAGCAGTTTAAGGCCATTTTCAAGCATTTGCAGTCCATTATTTTACAGTGAGAAAGTTTATTCACGTGCGTAAAATATTCAAGACACTTTCCAAAATCTTCCTCGGAAATTTGGTCAGACTGTGGAATGCTGAAAGAAGCTGCACAAAACCCTAGTGCTTCATCTCATACTTTATTGGCCTCAGTTAAATGTTTGTTAAGTGTGATTTGGTATCTATCAGCATCAGCTGGGCAACTCCTCCGTATGCCAAAGTATTCTAGAGTCGATGTGAGACCATCTGTCCGACAGCTAAAGTTTGGCCCAATCTGGGTCATGCAACATGACAATGATCCCAAGTCTACAACAGAATGCCTGAATAAGGAGAGTCAAGGTATTGTAGTTGTCCAGGTAAAGTCCAGATCTCAACCTGATGGAAATGTTGTGATGGGACCTTAAGAAAGCTGTGAATAAACAAATGCCCATAAACATTACTGAATTAAATTAATATTATATAGAAGCTGCTGTTGAATCATGGGCTGTTTTGTTTCTAACAGACCGCAAAGAATCCTGGGAAAACACATTTTTTCCCCACATGACTATTTGTGAAATCTCACAGGTAAATTTACCTTCTGACTAATAGAATTTTGTGTCCAAACTATATTATAATTTATTGGGTAGTTTAAATATATTATAAGTGTAATTTCTCAACTCTTTTGTTCAACAGGGACAGCAGATATTTAAAAGGCAAAATGCCAGAAAGGAAGTATAGCTGAACACTGACAGACTGCATGGTCAGTGTCTTAAATCCTCCATCCACCAGGATGCCCCAAGGGTTTAAAATAATAATGCATGAACTTATAAAGCTGTCAAATAAACATTATGTTCTGGCAGGTTCAATGTTTTTGAAATGTATACTTGCTTTAACTTGAAACCACTGACTTCCCCCCCCCCAAATGCTCAACAGCAAACATCTTTACAGCGTTATACATAAAATAGTTTTCATCTCTACAGCAAATTCCCCTACTTATGACAGCTTGCTAGCAAAACTTTATAGCATTTGCTGATAACATTAATTGCTCTAACACCCATAACCTGCCACCAGAAGAATCTCTCAGTCTTTCTCTTTTGGCAGTTGCTCCACTATCTTCAACGACTACTCCTCAACTGCTTGCTGTTTGGAAATGTTTCTCCTTGCCTGCAGCAGCCTTAAAACAACACCACAAGGGGAGTAACAAACAAAGTAAAGTTGTGGGGGCAGAAGCTAAACAACGAGCTGAAAATTAATTAATGCTGAGCAGGACCACAGATTCAGTTGACAATCTGCTGTTCTATGGTGAACGAAATGTGCTTTTCACTGTAATTTGAAACACTGTAAATAAAAAAATTATTGATTTTAGCTTATTTAACTACTGTTTTCTAGTGAATGTTCTCAGTTGCATTCAACAGCTACACTATTTACTCACTGCTGAGAGACTAAATACAC